ACAACCAGGATTTCACAGAACTCTCTGGAAACCCATTAACTGCTTCGGTTTATTGCCTCCAACACTTCCGAGGAAGGGTCCCTCTTTCCCCCTCCTTCATGTTGCTGCCTATTACAGACTCTGCTGGGGTCCTAATTTCCATTGGAACATTGTAACTTCCTGAGGAGTTGCTCTCTGGGGACCACTAGGAAAGATTTCACCATCACCTGATGATCCATAAAACTACAATGCAAACACCTGAAGTTTCTGCTCCCATTCTGAGAAGTGTTCCCGACAGACACCTAAAGGGGCCTCTTGGGCACCGCAAGTTCACAAATTCCAGCACACTGGAAGTTACCCATCTTTCTTTGCACTGCCCTATCCCTTGTGTCCTTACCTCATATGGCCGGAGCTCAGGGGCCGTGCTGTTAAAGCAGGAAGGAGTCCATTGGCTGGAAATGCTGACTTTGACATTACTGAATGTCTTTCTGGAAGCATGGAGCAGGGAATAACTGCCAGAAAACACACAAGACACAGGTTGGCCAGATCTTCTCTGGAGGTCAAGTGGGAAAGGGTGGGGTATCAAATACAGATACACACTGTCTCAGCAGGCAGCATAGCAGAGGACTGGCAGTTTTGGAGATAGCAGTCAGCAGTGGGAACCCCCAAATTATGGGAAGACAGGGATTTCACCCTTCTGCAATAGACTGCTCTTGGCTTGGCACAGCCAGCCTCACCTTTGGTGGTTGGATTCCCCAGGGACATAACACCCTTACCTCTATAACTGCATGAGTCCCAGACTGATTGGCTCTATGAGCTTATAAGTTAGTTTTCAAGGCTCACAGCCAAAGGTTAAGACTATTTCCCTGCTTTCATTCTTCTGTGATATGCTCTCACTTCCCTAAATTCAGTGAGATGAACACCTCTCTGTGCAGAGATACACTGAACCTACCTGAAGAAGGTCAGCAGGAACACAACAATATGATGGTGGGTGCAACGGGACACAAGGCCTCTGTTTGCAGGCTGCCTCCTTAAGCTTCCAGGCAAAGCCATGTTCCTGGCAGCCCTACCTTTGCTCCTGCCTTGGCCACAAGGCCTGGATGGTGATTAGGTCATTTTTTTCTTCTCACTTAAAAAGAAGGTGGGAAGGGAGGAGAAAAGAAAATATATTTGGATTAAAACACATGTATAAAGCACAGTTTTGTTCCCCAAACAGCTGGAATTCAGAAGAAACAACTCCACACCATTCCTTCCCCGTTTGTTTCACACCACTACCTATCTCATCACTTGTACATTCCTTAACATCTTCTATGCCTAAACGTGCCTTTTTATTCCCATTCTCTCAGTACCCTGATGGTCATCTCACAACCCACTTCTTTTTTGTTTCTCCCCTAGCATATGCCTCTTCAGTGCCCATCACCATAGGGGTTCCCCCTGGATCTACCAATTCCCAGCATTCCCACGTTAAAAACCATTCTGCACCATTTACACACATGATGAACTACAGTGTGGTCATAAATAAGACAGATTTCCACTGCTACCTGGCTGGTCATAGACTGGTGATGAAATCATGAGAGCAGCGTTTGGCTGCTGGAGAAGAACGGTTTGGGATCTAACTGCCTTGTTAAGATGTTGTTGAAAGAATATAGCCAAGAGTGGACTTGCACAGATGGAAAAAGGAAAGTAACCGTGAGGACAGTGCTGAAATCCAACAGTTAGACTCCCTGCCTATTTATTCTCAAGCCCGACATTACAGCTCCATCTGTCACTAACTCATTAGTACAGCACATGGCAAGTTATACCCTCCTGTAGGGCACGGGTGACATCTGCCCCAACTTCTACATACCCAGAAATTATCACTACTGAGGGAAGGCTATGATAGATGCAGTTTCTTCATGCTAGTTTATGTCACACTACTCTGCTCCCTGAGCTGTGCTGGCATGGTCGAGGGACCATTTCTGCTAACTTGAGATTGGCAAACAGCCCCACTGGGCAGCGAGGTGGTGAATCTCACCCCACAGCTGCCTTTTGTTTCCTTGGTAGAGATCTTTTTCAGCCAACTTCCCTACCACAGATCAAAAAGCAGCTACACAAAGGCTTGTGTCCATGTGACAGACAGAGCAGTGCAGAGAGAGAGATGCTGCACACCAACGCTGCTGCTGAAGGCAGAGCTCAATCCTGTCAGCACTCACTGGCCTGAGACGCTGGGACAAATCCACTGGTGGGAACTGCATTTGCAGAAGATGTGCAAACAACACGCATTCTGAAAGCTGAGGAGAGGTAAAATAAAGCACCACACCTGTTCCCCCAAAGGAACTGAAACTGAACTGGTTCCCCCTCAGCACTGAAATAAGACAGAAGATAGTGCCTTTGTATTCTTCTGTATCCACCGATGCTTTTTGTAATTATTTGCAAACCTGACAGAAGACTTTCCAAGTTCAGCTTTATAACCTCACTTGGAGAAATTAGAAGTCACTGCCCAGACACAGTCTCATCCAAATTTTTGCTGCTGAAAATTCTGTATTTCACAGAGACTTTCTGCTCTTCCTTCTAATAGCTTTTAAAGGTTTCATTAAGATATCTTTCACTGCAGGAAGTCTTTGTTTCCTGTCCTCTAAATGATGATGCGAGCCTGATTGACAAAAGGATAACAGCTACTACTGGAGACATGAACCATCATGGAAACTGAAACCTGACCTCCAAACCAGGTCACATCTGACCTCCAGAACAGAGTACAGCATGGAGAGCCTCTGAGTAATATGGATCCAGCTGTGACCGCTCTGAGACACCGGAGTCATGTTTAACCTACACCACACCCGAATGCCTCCATTCTCATCCAAGACAAATACAGCAAGTCTGTACAAGACCTGCCTCTATACAGCCCAGGTGCATTTGAGCCACACTCCCACTGCTCCAGCTAGCACAGAGCACCTTGGTGTGCCAGCACCTCCTTGTAGGGACATGCTTCTAGATTGCTTAGGTTTGCACAGAGGAAGAAAAAAAGCACCTACAGCTGGAGCTGTGGGAAGGCAAGGCTAGCCCAGGAAGAGGCAACTTCACAAGTAGTCTTGATACTACCCTCCCCCTGAGGTCTCAGACCATTTCTCAGCACCAGTGAATGAAAACTCAGCACCCACACAAGTACCACACAGTGCTACTCCCTTTCAGGCAGTGGTAACACTGCTCAGGGCTGTCTGCCACACAAGCTGCATGAAGAAGAGAAGGGAAGCCAAGGTACTCCAATTTCCCAGCACCGCGGTCCTTATGGGCCTGTGAACCACACGGTCTGTTGGTCAAACACAAGAGCTCGTTCTTCTTCCTTGCCTCTCCCTCCCCTCCCACCAGGCAACAGCAGGTTACAGAGCACTCCTGAGGAAAGCAAACCACTGCCAGTTGTGCAACACTGCAGGGAAAAGTTCCTTCCTCGGGTAATCAGTTTGCAGCCCGGAGCACAAGATTTACTACTCGCTTCATGTCAACAGATGCAAATATAGATCTTATTTGTCCAAGATACTGAGTCTTTTTAAAGCTAAGACCTCGTTTGACCTTAAAGTCACCTATTGTTCTATAGCATTTATTATTGAAACGATCTGTTTCTCAGAGCTTCTCAGTCTCAGCTAGCTTTCTAGAAGACCTTCTGGCACAGGACATTTTCACAGTATAGAGATGACTGTGAAAGATTTTGTTTTCCCTTTTTCTTCATCCTGTCCTTTCTATATTCAAAACTTGCATTCTCCCTAGGCTAGAAATGCATGCAATTAGGAGGTTAATCCTCAAAAATTAGTCTTCTAATTATTCTGAGAACACCATAGTAAGTTTGTAGTGGAGGGGAAGCAAAAACTAGGCAGCAGGATAACCCACAGAACTCAAGGCAGTGAAGCACAAGCCTTTAAGAAAGGAAGAGGAGCACTTTCAGGGTATTAAGACTACCTTGTCTAACTGTTTTGCATTATTTATCTTCAGCTAGCCAATATTTTGAGTAAGCTTTTGTTAAGCTTTCACCCTTATTTGTTAAGCTTCCCCCTTAGTTCTCTTATCCCTTCACTTAAAGTCATAATAAGACACCTTAAGGTCAAAATAAGACACCTTAAGTTCAAAACAAACTTCCTTAATACTATCTTGCCGTCCCTCAAAGCTGGCAGGAAAGACTAGCATTCACATTCCTGGGACTTACAAAGTGCCAAACAAACGGATTTTTTTCTTAAAAATTAAATAAAATAAATAAATAAATAAACCCAAACTAACAAAACCTCCCAGTCTTACGCCATTTTTCCAAACTGACAGAAGCCCGGCAGCACAAACCCAAACCCACACAGGGCCCTCCGCCGCCAGCACAAGCAGACCGTCCGCCACCCCGGAGTCCCTGTCAGACGCTGTCTGGGAAGAACAGGGGCTGCCCGAGCACCGGGAGGATGCGAGCACGATCCGACTGCCGGGCCCCCGCTGGCAGCGCATCTGCAGCGGCGGCAGCGCCCGGAGCCCGGCAGCGCATCCCCCGCGCTCGGCTCGGCGGGGAGGACGCGGCTCCTCCCGCCCGGTCCCCGCGCAGGTGGCGGAGCGGCCACGTCCTCGGCGGGGCGAGGAGCGGAGCCGAGCGGGCAGCGCAGGGCACGCACCGGCTCCGCCACCGCCGCTACCCCGCCGCGGCATCGCATCCCACCGCATCCCACCCCACCGCATCCCACCCCACTGCACCGCCCCGGGGAGCTCCCGCCGCCCGCCCGGCCCCGCGTACCGCGCCCGGCGCCCAGCGCTGCCGAAGGAAGTCGGCAGGAGGGAGGCGGCCCTTCCGGGCGGTCCCACGGAGCGGCGGGAGCTGTAGTCCGGCCCCGGCCGCTGCCGAGGGGCCCTGCCCACCTCCCGTCCGGGGGCGGGCAGCGAGCGGTGCCGGCAGCGTCCCCCGGCCGGCGGGGCGGGGAAGGGGAGGGCCCGGACTACATCTCCCGCCGGCCCCGGGCCGAGGCGGTAGAAAGCGGGCGTACCTGGCCCGGCAGGGCAGCGCCGACAGGTGAGCGGTGGGACAGGGGCTCCTTCCTCGGGCCTGCGGCTCGTCCTCCCCCCCCCGCCCCGCTCCCGCCGCAGGCCCGCCCGGGAGCCGCGATGCCGTTCCCCAGCTCCGGCGCGGACGATGCCTTCGACTACCTGTTCAAGATCATCCTGATCGGGGACTCCAACGTGGGGAAGACCTGCGTGGTGCACCGCTTCAAGACGGGGCAGTACAACGAGAAGCAGCAGAACACCATCGGCGTCGACTTCACCGTGCGCTCGATGGACATCGACGGCAAGAAAGTAAAGGTCCGTGGTGGGAGCAAGCCCGAGACTCTTGGTGGGCAGCACCTTTGCCGTGTCACCTTTCCCATGCAGGTGCCGGGGAGTGGTGGGAAGCACAGCATCTCCTGCTCGGCCCTAATGAAGGCAGCTGGCAAAAGCTGGCCGCCTTTCTGACCAGGGGTGTTTCCAAGGGGAGCTTTCTCTCAGGAGCATGCCCTGATTTGGGTACATGCTTGCTCTCGTGACTTCTCTGCATCTACTTGAGGAGGGGGCTCACACTTTGCCTGCAGGGAGTTCTTTGGAAGACTGCTGTATTTTGGAGGGGTTGTCTCTTACCTCTGTCAGAGATGGGGGAGTTTAAGCTGGGACACTGAGGAGAGAAAACCCTCTAGTTTGCAAAGGCTACACTTTGATGTGTGCTTAATTTGAGGGAAGAAGGCTTCCAAGACAGACACCAGAAGAAATGGTTAGCTAGAACTTCCCTCTGCATGCAGATGGAAGTTCAGATGCCTGCCCTTTATATAGATTTGCTCTGCCCAGTCCCTCATCAGGGCTTCTTCCTTTCCTGTTAAAAGCCTGTAATGCTCTACATCTTTTAGTACAGTTGTTGAAACTGGGGTTCTTGGCCTCTTTACAAAGCTGGGTTTACCCTTGCAGCTTTCTCTTTGAACTGTGTAGATTGACTTTACAGACTCATAAATGTCTCTTCAGACCCAGAGAAAGCAAAGCCACACTGTTGTAGCAGAGAGAGCTGAGGCAGGTCTGGCTGCCTTCTAGACAAGGGGTTTCAAAGGCCTGGATGCTGCTGGCAAACACCTAGGAAGTGGCATTCACTGGCCTTTACAACTTCTGTCCTTTCTCTTACAGATCCAAGTGTGGGACACAGCTGGCCAAGAACGCTTCCGGACAATAACCCAGTCTTATTACAGGAGTGCCCATGGGGCCATCCTTGCCTATGACCTTACTAGGAGGTCCACATTTGAATCCATTCCTCATTGGATTCATGAAATTGAAAAGTATGGTGCTGCAAACTTGGTCATGATGTTAATTGGTAGGATTTTAATTTTAAATATTGTGTTATGTAGCTTTTTTAACATGAATATAAAATCTCCTTCACTTTCCCCCACTACCTGAAGCATCTATAAACTACGCATTAAGAAAGAATGCAGTTCTAATTACAGAACATCAGAAAATATATCAGTGTGGCCTAAGCTTTAAAAAAAAATGAGGAAAGTCATAGCCTGGTCCTGACAGGACCAAACCCACTGCAGACAGCAAAACCTTTTTTTACTTGTTTCTTTCCTGTTGGAATAATGCAACAAGCTTTGCTGCCAGGCTCGAGGCAGGGACAGCCTTGCTGAGGTTAGAATTGCAGTAAGTCTGACCCTATACTCCTGATGCACAGGAATGTAGAGGCTCAATAATTCAAGACTGAAGGGGAATGCACAGAGCAACACAACTCCTCGTTCTCATCTTTCCTCTCTGTTCTTTTGATATGCATGCGCATTGCTCTGTAATGGGATTCCTAGCAGGTAAGACAATAGATGGAGAAATGGCTTTTGCAGGGCATGAAGTAGTCTGCTTACATTCCACTAGCGTTCAGGAAACTTTGCCTCTTGAGGAAGCAATCGCTGAGAACTGGAGCTGGTAGGAAGCAGCGTGGTTCCTTCCTCTTGGTTTCAGGTTGTTATTGCTCTTCCTGTCCCCAAGGAAGAAGCTGCAAATGAGAGAACTGGTGTAGTAAAATGACAGAGGCTTTATTTACATTCCACAGCCTCTGCCTGTTGTGCTGTGGCGCTGTGCTGAGAGCACTGCATGCAGCTACAGCAGCCCAGACTGGCTCTTGAGGGCGGGCAGGTTGAGCCCCACGGCACAACGGGCCTGGAACAGAAGCTGCTGCTTGTGCTCCCAGCACAGTACTTACTGCGGCTGTGATGGTTCTTCCTGTTCTTGCTCTGAAGAAACAAACAACAAATTCTGACCCCCATCTGTAACTGCAGTGCTTAGAACTGGGTGGGTGTAAATCACTGAACTTGGCAGGGTTTTTCTAAGTGATGTCATGAATCTAAAGAAAAGACTTACCTGTGTGTGGTGGGGGCTGGTGGTGGTTGTTGCTGTTTTTTAAAGAGAAAAGTTCTGAAATTGGTAAAAATAAAGCTTTTGTTAAGGATTCAGCTTGGTGCTTTCTTCCAGAGCTGGTGCTGTTTGCTTTACTTACTTTGGCAGAAGTCTTTGTACATTTAATTACATTTGAGCATGTTATACACCCTTCTAGCATGAGGTTAAGGTTAAGAAGTCTAACTTTCCCATCTGGAACTGGAGGAGGAAAGAAGGGAGGGCTCTTTTTAAGAAGGCAAATAACCCTCCAGCTGTTTGTTGGGGGGTTGTGGTTTTCTTTTGTGGGGTGGGTTGTTTTGTTGTTTTTGTTGGGGTTTTTTCCTTTTAGAAAAATTGAAAGGGACTTAATGGGAGGGGAGTTGGCTTGTATATGCTTCAAATTCAAGATATGAATTTGATGAAGGGCTGTCTTGAAACTATGAATGTAGACTTCAGCCAGGTACTGCATGTACCAGAACTGATAATTCCACATGTGCTGCAACTACTTAAATATACAAAGGTATTTTATCTGAGGCGTTTCACGCTTTCTGATAGACTTTGACTGGAGTGCTGCAAGTAAAAATTTTAATCTATATATGCAGAAACAAGTCTCTATCTTAAGCATTAAAGTAGCTAGTGTGAATTCTTGTCTTTTTTGACATCATCTTCAAAGATTTTTTTAAAATGTTTAACCTAAATGCTACTAAATGTTTAAAACCACTAAAGAATAGAACCAATAGTTGCTTCCAAACAATCCTTTGGCACCACTACCTACACCAAATAATTAGATGAACACAGGTTTTTAGTTTTTTCTTGGATTTCAAGTCATTTCCTATCCTATGATTAGCTGCAGTTTTGATCCATAGTCTGTGTTTGTGGCTCCGATGTGCTCGCATCTTGTTCTTTCCAGTAACTCTTACACCTAACATAAATCTATTGTTTAACAGAATTTAATTAATCCATTGCATTTAAAGATGAATTTTTGAGAGACTAACTTATTGAATGTCTATTTGCCTTCTTTTAAGGGAACAAATCAGACTCACTGGATAAGCGCCAGGTCCTGTTTGAAGACGCCTGCACGCTGGCAGAGAAGCACGGGCTCCTAGCTGTACTGGAGACATCAGCAAAAGAAGCTCAAAACATAGAAGAGGTGTTCATGTTAATGGCTAAGGAGCTAATAGCCCGAAATACCTTACAGCTTCATGGAGAGAACCCTCCAAACAGCTTCTATCTTGATTCCAAGCCAGTGATTGCCAGTCCAAGTGTGGAGAAGGCCCAGTGCCCCTGTTGAAGAGAAATTTCAGGAAGAGCTTGGAAATTGTCATTCTTCTGAGGCTGTTTGATGCAATTGTATTCAATTGATGAAAGTGTCCTCTCTGGCCTCAAGCCATGTCTCTTGATATCTCTACCTTGGAGTTTGGCTTGTAAGTATTTTCAGAGATCATTGTTGCTGTTGGTAGCACAGGTTGCTTTGAACGTGGCAATGAGCTGAGAGGACTCAGGAAGCTGCCAGCCCTTGCCTTAATCAAAGAGAACTATAAAAACTACTGCCTTTAATTATAACCTTTGAATGTTTTTCTGGCTGTGTCAGAAGATGAATTTGCACCAGAGCTGTGTGTTAATTTGACCCTTCTGAGCTATGTTGCTGGTTCTAAGTGCAAGCACTTTCCGCTCTGCCCGTAGCTGTAAGAAGTCTGACACATGCTGCTTAAACTTTCATTTAGGGGCTGTCCTGATGTCAGGCATGTAGCCACTCATCCCAAGGGACTTAATAACATTTGTGAAAGAATAAGTGGAGACATCCCTGGGGTTACATGGCAGGCAGAACAGGATACACTTCTTCCTGGGGTGAGAAGACTGCCTTTCACTTTGCTCCCTAATTGTCAGAATTGCTTCCAGTACTGGTCTCCATCTTGCTACACAGACTTGCTAGAAGCAAAGCTTCCAGTGAAAGGATGTTTTTTCTTTTCTCCCCACTAACCTCATCATGCTTTTTGATGTGCTGGTTTTAACCAAAAGCCTTCTGTAGCTTGTGCAATGGGCCAATGGCAGCTTGAGAGTATGCCTGCAGATTTCCAGGGGAGTCTGAAGGATGGATCCAAGCTCCTGTAAAACTCAGCAAGGGGTAAGATGGTTTAATTAGGTAATCTTGTGTTATAGCAGTAAGTGAATGGTATGGGGTGCACCAGAAGCTGCCCTAGGCAAGTAATATACACTACTGCTGTGGGGACTGAACAATGTGGAAGGTTTTGGATTGCTCTTCCCAAATGCAAGCTCTGCTACTCAGGGGTCACTTCTGTATACCTGAACTGAATGAAGGGGTTTGGTTGGGGTTTTTTTTGGTGTGGGCTTTGAGGTTTTTTGGGGGGGGTTTTTTGAGTTTTGTTTTGTTTTGGATTTTGTGTTGTTGATGTAGGTTTTTTTCTTCTCTGTTGTTTTGTTTGCATTTTTTTTTCCCAGTAGATGGAAACGGGGAAGGAGAGGGAGGAAAGAAATATTATACAGAGGGAAGTTCTTTTGACTGCAGTCCTCATGTACCAAAGTGTGTCAGTTACTGTTAAGCTATGAACTGCAACTCAAACTCTGTAATGATAAAATATGGTCTGTGTCACATTCAAAGCAGCCCTGGGAAGGCTGGTGTGTTGCTGGCTTACTCAATGGTGGTCTGCCCGTGTTTCCTAAGCCCTGGAAAAATAGGGAAAATCACGTAGCAAATATTTCTGGAAAATCTTGTCTGAGAAGCACAAAAAATAAAGCAGAATGAATCACTGATTTATAGTCTTGGAAATACTTCTAATATTATTAATGCTTTCTCTGGCTAAGTTCTTTGCTATCACATGCAAAGAGCAGCTGTGTGTAAACTGAGGGAGGAATCCTCCATGCTAGCCTCTAAGCCTTTTGCCTGCTGTAGAGAAAGCTTCATCTTCAGACATCCTCTTTCTGATGTTTACTTTTTAAATCTTATTTCTTCTTCATTCAGTACTAGCCTAGTAGTTGCATTTCAGTTTGCACATTTAGGCAACAATAAATACCATAGCCTTTCCAAGTGGGAAGCAAGCTTCCAAACTACTAGTTTCTACACCTTGTGTCACTACGAAAACAGTAAAATATAAGCTTAATATTCTTTTCTGTTTAAAATCCAAACTACTCCTGGTCGTAATCCATCTCTTTTTTTTTTTTTTTGTATCTTTCAGGAGACTGTAATAGAAAAGTATTGTGTTCATCTCACCATGTTACTGGCAGTGTTAACCTTGGCATGGTTCATTGGGTTTACTACCTTAATTAGCAATTAGTGTATCAAGTTATTTTGCTTACCCTCAGTATGGAGATTTCTGCAGGCTGATGTGGTCCTCCCTGACTGCCCAGCACTGCCAGGTTACAGGGCTCTTGCCATTCTCTTCCTCACAGAAAGCTGTGCAACACGGGATCAGGGAGGACAGGCTTGTGACCATGCCTTGAGCTGCACTGTCCCCTTTCCTTTAACAGGTCTAACAGGCTTCCTTCTCCTCCTTCAAGAAACTAGTCTTAAACACCTCCCCATTGTGCAACTAAACCAGGAGCATGACCTCTTCTGGTTGGTTCTGTTTGGCATCTTCCACACGGCCTTTGGGCAGTTACACTGAATGGTTTCTGCAGGGACACTTTTCAAGCTGTCCTCGCCTGAATGAAGAACAAGCTGCAGCAGTTGCTAACAAGGTTCTTCAGAGAGTATACTGGTAATGGTATTATTCATGAGGTAATACATGAAGCCATAAACTTTAAAAAAACCCCTTTACTGTGGCATGTTATTATAGACTGTGAGAACCACTAGATTAAAATACAAACTCGGTGTAATTTCTGCGGTTCTGCCTTTCCCCATCAGAGAGCAGGTGGGAACACACAGCTGTGACAAGGCAAAGTGGCATTAACTGCTACGGAACATTCCATTAATGGTTTTGCTCCCCAGCATCATATGCAAATTCAGTGTGCTTCCTGACAGTATCATTAATGCATTTGTTCAAAGTATAGCTTGTTTACACCACTATTCTAAAAACTACTACTGTCCCTCAGGTTTCAGTTTTAAGAGCTGCACATTCAGCTTGAAGATGAGCTCATTTGTTAAGTTTTTATCTACTTGGAAGTGTTTCAATCTTAGCTGTGGCACATTACTTGCACTGCAGCCATGCCAGATGAGATTGAAGCAGGACCTACCCAATGAAACAGGATAATGAAAAAAAAAAAAGTATTTTAAAATGGAGCAAACTGACACCTCCCAGAAGCTGACTAGTTTGAAAGTCAACATAACAGCAAGCCAGTGAAGTGGAAGGCATATAGCACTGCCTATGTGGTCAGGCTTTGCTTCATATGCAGGAGACAGGCTCTTAATTGCAAAAGCTGAGGTTCTTATCTAATCATTCTAGTTAATGTTTAAGTATAGTTGGAAAGGAGACAGAGAAAGCAATTTTCAGGTCCTGACAGAGGTGGAGAGCTCTATCCTTGAGCCTTTTTTCAGGAAGGAGATGCATGCCTGTGCTTCTGGACAAGGAATTGAAAGTGAAGCTTCCCCCCACCAGGTGAGTGCTCAAACGAAAGTGCTTTTAGGAGATGCCCCTTCCAGCTGCGGGCTGCCAACAGGCAGCTTTTTCTGGGTCTCAGCTCTAAGAACACCACATTTGGCTGGAGGTGTGTGTGTGGGGGGGCTTAAATAGTCATTGCTCAACGTACTGACTCCCGAAATAATTTTCAAGCACCACTCTCATGCAATTGTATTAGGAACTGGAACAGGCAATGCTGGGATATGGGAGCCCTTTGAGAATAGTTTTAGACATGCCCAGAGCTCCTTTTTCCTAAGAATACTTCACCTTGTAATAGGAATGTGCAGTTTGAGATGGGTCGGACTTTTAAATATTTTTTGAAGTATTTTTCTTATGCTGTTCTTCTAAAAATCAGCACTCAGGTGCCTGCACAACCTCTGTCAATGCAGTCACATCAAGCTGTTGACTCTGGCTTGACAGCAAGTGACAAACAGCACATCTATATATAACAGGGCAGGAGCTTAGCATATTTGGAGTCCTGCATTTCCTTGCTACTGCTGTGCCCATGAATATCACTGCTTATACAGTTTTCTCTGCTAAGTCTAGTTTTGCTAACCTGAAGTGAGGCTCACCACAACTATAGTTTAATAATGTCTCTCTAATGCTTGCATTAAACTGACTTTGTAGCTACTTGATCCCTGCAGTGAAGTCCTGTATTGTATCTCGATCCCAGGGGATTACATGGGGGCTCTCCTTTTAAACTGCTGCAGCATTGATAATTTCAGCTACACAAGTTTTGTTCCAAACCTGAGACACCCCATAAGTTTCCTGCTAAGGCAAGGTGAGCTACTCTGTATTTCATTACATGCATCAGGCATCCCCTCAAAGATTACAATCCACCTTGGGCTACAGTCAAAGGCAAGCTGTGCTACCACCATTTGAACTGAAGCAGCAGAGGTTTTAACAAGTACTCTTAGCTTGTATCATCCCATTCAGAGCAGTGAGAACGGGCAGCACACATACTCTGCACTTACCACAAGAGGCAAAGTTCTGTATCAAACTAAATGTATATATCCTGGCCTAGGGAGTAAAGTCAAGGCCCTTGAAGTGAGAGCATGCATCTTTTCCTGAAGATTTTTGTTTTGAAATCAAGACTTTGCTGGTAGGTTATGGAGACTTGATACCTTTTCATCTTGACATTACTCTGATTGGCCTCTTCAGTTTCTGTACCTTAGGTATGTGCTTGAAGAAAACATAGCACAGCCTAAGTTGTCACCCTCCATCTTTTTACATTAAAACTTTGCCTTATTTCTACTGAAATTATTCCTGTTCTTACAAAGGAAAAGCATAACAGCCTACTAACATTATTTCAAAGGCCCTACTATTTTCAGTTGTTCCAGTTTGGGATGGGTGGAAGGTAGAAATCACAATGCTACAGCAAGCTTAGAAACAAACCTCCCACCAGCAAGGTTCAGACACAAGTGGCACACAACAGTACTGCTTGGTGACAAATACATGCGGGTCTTGAACCTGCAGAACAGGAACCACAGCACGATTCAAAGTGAGAGAGCAACAGAAGCTACTTGTCACGATGCACGTGACCACATCTGTCACCTTGCAGCTGGACCCAACAGCCTCCACCAGAGCAAATCATTCATTTGTGTGTCCTCAGCCTCCCCTGTAACACCCACAGAAAGCCGCTTCAGAAGCGGGAGCATCCACCACTGTGCCACATGTACACCCACACAGAGTAAAGCACACCACTTCTCACCCCTTAGGAAAAGAACCTCATGTGTGTGCTCTGGCTGGTAAGTTTTACCTTCTTCCACCTTACCAGAACACATCTTTGTTAAACTTACATTTGAATGCAGTTTTCCAATAGGATGTAGCAACTTATGTTCACCACGGAGGGGAGGAAGGCTTTTATTTTTTCTGTTTCTCCCTATATCAGTTTTAAGTGTCACTTGCTCAAATTACATTCTTTCTCTCCCTCTGCTAGTTGGCCCTGGAAAAAAAAACAAAACATAACCAAAACAACCAACCAAACCAAAGATGGCTTTAGTTTGTTCAGTTAAAGTTGTCTTATTCATATCCTTCAGCAACTAAATAAGTTTTTACTAGTTTACTTCCAACTTCATGTACTTCTGCAGAAAAATGCTTCTTTCTGAACACACATAGGCTTGTAGAAGCATGTGGAGTCAAAGGAAGTGGCCTGTAGCAGTCCTTGGGCTTGCTGTGCCAACATCATTACGACAGGAAACTATGGATAGAATATGTACTGCAAATAAAAGTAATACAATAGTGCAAAAACTACTTCTGAGAAAGCAAGCCACATCTGTGCTCACTAATGGCCCTAGATATTCCTTCAACCTTTCCACTGCCTCAGCTGTCTGTGCAGAATGTGTTCCTTACATTACAGGCTCTTTGCTAGAAAAGCTGTAACAATACTAAAATTCCATATTGAGAGTGACACAGTTCTGGAGGAGTTAAGAAAAAGTGACAAATGCCTTTATATTTACAGAAACACACAAAAATAATCAAGCTAAAAAACAGAAGCTTCGAACATAAAAGAACAGACTGACTTCTTGTTTAATTTTTTTGATTTTTTTTATTTGGGAAAAGTGCTTCTTACAAAAGGCAGCTGCAAAACAATACGTTATAGACCTCAGAACAATTTCTCATTCCATTTAAAAGTGAAAGGAGAGGCAGTCTAGGGGACAAGAGCAGCAGGAGAACAGATCACGGGGCATCCACAAGTCAATAAAAAACAGCAATAATGTAATGCAAGGTTAAAATTCCTGTGCCGGGGCTTTGGTGGCAAAGTAATTTCTCAATGCAAATTACAGCCAGAAACTGCATGACTGCCTTTGTAAGCAGTAAGTCACATAAACTGAACAGCTTTACCAGGCAACCTGCCTCACTCAGCTGCAGAGAGCACGTGAACCTCAGAGCAGCTGAGAGGAACAGTGATTTCCTAGCAAAGTTCACGGCTTAAGTGTTTACATGAAGTTCTAAAACTTACAGAGCGATAAAGCTAAAGGGTCCTCTCTGGTGTTCCTCTGACCCCACCTTGGCTAACCGGATTTCTGCTCCTGACAACCCTAACCATACACATGAAATAGAGCTGGTGTATTAGGGAGTGCTGTTTATCAAGTTAAGCACTAGTTAAGATTGTTGCCGCAGACTGGGCTGAGACCACTAAACCAGTTTCACGTCCAGTTGGAGGCTACACTTCATGCACCAAGAGGGGATGAAAGATGGTTTTGTTATTTTTTAACTTACAGAGTCTCCCCATCCTTGAGGTCCAACTCCACATTTATCGGTATATACACATAGAGAGTTCTCCTTTCACAAAGACATTTTCCTTTCATGCTAAACACAGTAAAAACCCAGAACGTTCACACCTGGTTCTGGTTACACAGTAGTAATAGTAATGTGCAAGTAAACAGAGACCAAAATCACAAATGAAGACGTGTACATGAGGGGGCTGGAACGGAGCTGATGCCAGAAAGAGTATTTGTATCTGGCCTGAAAGTAATGGTACAAAGACAGAAGAAGGGCCATCAGCCAATTTACATCCCCACTGCATGGCCACTGCTCATTTTTGTATCTGGGCTCTTCAAAATGAGTGTGGAAGTCCTGTAAACACTTTAACCCTGGAACTGGGTGAACTCTGTTGGGTACACAGATGAAGCAACAAACCTAAGCTAACTGTTTGACAGTTAAATTTATTTTTACAAAAACTAACATTTTAAAGATTTATTTCTTGTTATTTGTTTAAACAGAGGAAAAACAACACTCCTGGGGTGGGAGAGGAGGGGATGGGAAGAGACAGACCCTGGGTAAAAGTTATTACAACAGCACCTGGAATTGATCGGCCTGCCTAGGAGAAACACAGGCACTGCCACAACACCACAGGTAATAGCTACTGCCTGAAGCCAAGACAACAGTCCACACTCCACTGACAGGTGCTATAGATCCAAGTCATAATAATCTTCCAGCTCATCATGAAATAAGTCCCACTCGTCCTCGGAATCCGTTAGCTCATCGTCACCTCCTGCTGCCAACAGCATAAGCAACATCTCACCAAGCTCAAAGGTCACCACCTCATCCTCATCGGTTTCAAATGGATCACCATTCTCCCGCTCCTCGATGAACTCCCAGAACCGATTCCTCCGCTGGGCCTGCAAGCGGAACACAAGCATTTCCCCGGGTGACCACATGGTACAAAGTAGGAGCCCTTCCAGAGGCTGGCAATGTTCAGCCCCTGGTGTACTTTCTGACAGGCAAGAAATCACAGTTCTCATTCAGGGAGATACTGACCTCCAGTAGAATTTACCCTTACACTCCCCTATTAATGCTACCCAATATTTCTACTTCAATATGTTGTAAGAAAGTTTTCCAAATTTAGTCTTTTCGTCTTGGCCTCCAGCATTCACAAACTTCAGAGTACTGATTCCTTCAAATTTACCATTACAGAGGTCTATCAGAAGGGGTGAGGGGGGAAAGGAAAAAGTCAACATCTCCCTGTCCTCTTCTCAAGGCAGAAGACATAATGCACCCCCCTCTTGTGCTCTCTGTATGGAAAGAACAAACAAACAGCAGCACTGACCCGGTATCTACTCGATGTTCCCACTTTGGGTCTCTGTGGCTCCTCTTGGCGGCCATCAGGGTATTCATGCTTATAAAAACAGTTCCCTCCAAATGGACAGCTTCCACGGCCTTCATCAAAGTACCTGCATGGCTTGTTGCTGGAAAGGAAAATATCGCAACCCTTACTGAGTGCAGACCCCAATCGGGACTTCAGAACTGCATTTACCTGTAGGTCCACAAGGATCTCAGGTACCAGGGGCTGAAGGTATTTTGTCAGTGTAAGACTAACACACAGAAGTGATGTATTACACAACACGTTTGGGCCAATGCATGCAGAGGGACACTGATGGTTTGCAGTGCACGAGCTTGTACTGCCTTATGGCTACACCACCAGCCTTTTGTGTATAGGAGGGAAAGACTGAGGTCAAAGAACACGGGAATAGCTTTGGGACTGTGTGGTTGCATGCATCTGTGGGCAGATAGGCAAAGATGCACTTCACACAAGGTGGTGAAAGGAGGTGTGAGAGGGGCTTTACATCAACACCCTTCTCCATGTGTGCCTTTATCTCTGCAGTCTCAACTTGACAAAAGGCTGCATTGCTCATACCTCATTGCCTCCTTGTATTTCTGAATGAGTTTCTGCTTCTCTTCCTTCTCCTCCACCCAGTACTCACTTGGAATGACAAAGTTAGATGTGATCCGACATTCTGGGCAGGACCTGGGAAACGAACAGACTGTGCTGCAAAATTCCACATTACAGGGCGCTCTCCCTCCTATATAACAAGTCATGGCACATATCCATCTTTAAAGAGGTATTGCACTTGTATACTTGCTGTACGACCTTTTCAATCTACGTTCTCTTACACGAGGATAACCTAAACTCTCTTCAAGAACTCAACGGCAATGGCAGCTTGTCTCAGAAAAGCTTGAAAAAACACTTCACACGGACTCCTTTTTCTTTAGAATTAAATAAATTTATTTTGGTATGATTCCTGTATTTATTTGACTGGAAGTCTGTACTTTTTAGAACAGCCTTAGATGGAGTAATGTTTTGTCAACTAAGTGATGCTCCAGGGCAGTAATGAATTAAGCAGCATACATTCTGAACTGGTCAATCTGTTTCTAGATTCCTGTCTGAGTGTCCAAGACATAAACAGTAACCACTGGACAACATGCTACTAAATAAACAGTTATTTTCTACCATTGAGTTTAGCCAACTTAAAATGTATTAACCAAATCAGAGTGTAAATGTTATCCCCAACAATTATTTCACTTCCAAACTAAGTTAGTATGCATTAAATGCAGTCTCTGTGCAGTCTGCATCTGGAAGTCTGTTGCAAGTTGTCACAAGTTACTAAGTTCTTCCATAGTAACAAAGCACAATCGAAATGGGAAAGTGCCTCACTTTATAATCTTGCTCTCAAATTGCTTAGCACTCCTCCACTTGCGGATGCACTTGAGACAGTAAGTGTGGCTGCAGTTGGAGAGGATCCCAAAGCGGCGCTCACTAGGATTAGCTTTCTCATACACCACCTCCATGCATATCCCGCACACCATGTCTTTACTACGCTGGACGGCAAAGGAAAGCTCCATGTCCTTCTCGTGAGCTTCAATGCAAGACTGAAAAGGAGAGACAAAGAAAACGACTACAGAGACAACTGTTCACCTGGTGAGGTCTAAGCAGGTTTTTAAACTCAGTTTTACTCTGCTGTTTTCCATAC